GAGCGACGATGTTTGGCAAAGCTCGAACCTAACCTAACCTAACTTGTGTCCCGTGTGTATTTCGGCGGGAGGGGAGTCGATATTTCGTATAGATTCGCGTAATATGACTGCAGTAATGGGCCATTGTGTGTGTGTGTACCGTCCCCGTCATATTTTCGTCGCAATATCCGGACAGAACGAGAGAGAGAGAGAGAGAGAGAGAGAGAGAGAGAGTGCGTATATATACGACAAACAAATAAAATTCATCAAGTTCCGGCAAAATTCCGGCAAAATTCCGGCAATCGACGTATGCGTGTGTCTGCGCGGAAATTCACACTGCGGAAGCGCGTGAATTCGGGCGTAAATTTGACGATATCGATTGCCAGATCTGCAAGAACGGACGACGACGTCACTCCTGTCCAAATCTCGCGCTGCGCGAATGCGCCGCGCACGTATTGTTGTAGAAAAAGAAAGAAGTAATTTTTGAATTTAATAAGGCAATGATAACGTCCCGTGGGCATTCCCGCGGGTAGGGTGAAAAAGGTATCCGGCGCGGATACACGTAGTTCGAATTTGGCAGCCACCCCTCTGTGTACCATCTTCCCCCGCGTTTTTGTTGTAATCTCCCGAGGGATGCATGAACGCACGTACACGCGCTCGGCGCTGCGTATATCGAATGACCCTCGTCGGGGATACGCTCGCAATATACCCGGGAGTTTACAATTCCAGGGAGTTTATAAGTCCCCCCTCTTATTCCTTACTATTACGCCACATTCTATGATGCATTCTGTACAACTTAATAAAAAGAGCTATTTACAGCCGGGAGGAAGTGGAAGCGAGAAGAGGAAGAGAAGCGACAAATTTCAAAGGCGACGTCCTTGCCTTCCTTTCTCTCTCCACTCCGTGTTATTATTTCGAGGGGGCGACATATTCGCCTCGTGGCGATTCGTGGCGAGGTAATTCTCGTAATCGCGCAAAGAGACGCGAATGTCACACCAGCCGAGCCGAGCGTGGTACGCACGAATATTCTCTCATTCGATCTCGTCGCGCTCGGAATCTAAATGATTTACACGAGGAATTATTTCATCCGGACGCACGCGCTTTGCACGCACACAGTAGTACGCAAGACTGCGTACTGTTCGGCCGCACTTTTTTTATTGATTCAGTCTGAGTGCCCGTGAGCGCGAATTACCGAATTATACCGACTCGAGCGAAAATATCGCAGCGACGTGCAGATCCCGCGCCGCCGCCGCCGCCGCCGCCGCCGCCGCCGCCGCCGCCGCTCTCCATGAGAATCAATTTTGCTCCGTAAAATTGCGTTGCCGACATTAGTGACAGCCGAGGTGTTCCCGAGCGCCAAAAATTGGCGGATCGCTACGTGATCGGAATCCGGAGCAGGGGGGGAGGGGAATATCCATCGGCGTCGTCGTCGACGGGCGACTACAGCGTGACACTAACTAACGTCGTAATCAAGTAAGCAGTTTAACCGAACGATCCGGTTAGCACGACTTAGCCCTCCGTATCGACGAGGCGTCGCTAATTGGTTTACAGATCTGCCGAGGCGAAGTCGGTGCTCAAAGGTCTCTCTAGTTAACTATGTCGGCTATCCGCGACCCACCCACTGCCCTTGGGAAGCCCGCCCTTCGCAAATGTTTAATTAATGCCTCGATACCGGCCGCGGCGCGCGTCGATCAATCACTCTCGCGAAGCGCGCGCGTTTTTCGCGCGTTCTCTTCATCCCTTTCCTCGCCTCCTCGGTGAGATTCTGCTCTCTCGAGTTGCCAGACTCGGGCTGGCAATGACGCTTAAAAAGGCAAAAGGCTGCGGTATCCTTTGCCTTGAGATATATATCCCGCGTGTGTCCTGCCGGCGGAACGTTAACGAGAAGATTTACGGAGGCTCAAACGAAGAATTATATCTGACACGTGCTGTTCTTTCGACGCGTCGAGCAGCTCCCGGCATCGCGCGAGCGCGCCGCGAATTTTCATCGGGATTTATCCTCCACGAGAGGCACAAGTATGTTTTTACAATTTATATCGCAGCGAGCCCTAATTCATTCGCCGCGTCGCGCACTCGTCGAAATCTCCGCTACGAACGCGGACGCAAGCAGAAGCCGTGCGTGTACGTGCCGGAATCGAAACAACGCGGCGAACGAGAGAGAGAGAGAGAGAGAGAGAGAGAGAGAGAGAGAGAGCGCGCGGCTTTAGCTCCGCTAAAGCTAAACGTCAGGTCATTCTTCTACGAAGTGAAAAATGTCATCCGTATGCAAAACAAATTGCGCGACAGCTTTCGCGGCGTTTCATTATACACCCGCCCCCTCCCCCCTCCCCCGCGACTCACGGGGCGGCCCTCCGCGCTTTCCCTCTCGCCCGAGAAATTTCATTCTAAGCGCCGGGCCTTGCGAATGTCTGACGTCCTTTAATATCACCGTCACGCGGAACATGACGTGCGCCGTCACCTGTGGTCCTTTAAAAATGATTAACCCGCTAAAGAAGCGGCTCGGCTCAGCCGAGCTCGGCGCGACGCCGCGCCGGTGAAAAATGAAAGTCGCCCGCCTCGCGGGACGAAACAAAGGAGCCATTAGCTCCCCTTTCGCGCGCTAACGGTGACCATGGATCTTCTCTACCTCGACAATACCGTCGCGCGTGTCTCTCATTTCTCGCGAGCGAGAATCGAGCGACGTGCTCGATCGAGCCCGCGGAATCTTCGAAAGCGACTTCACGCTCCGTCCGCGTCGAGCGGCCGTGCGACTCCTCCGACAAAACCGACTCATCGAGCTGTGACGAGAGAGTCTGCTATTAATATCCTCTGTCTGTCTCTGTCTGACTACAGACCGCTCCTGCGAACCTCGCGATTTACGCGCTCGGAGTTATCGGCAACTGCGAGATCGCGCGAGAACGGAAGTCCTCGCCGAGCGCGATTCGAAGCTCGGGATCCTTTTTAAAGGCGAGAACTACCTGTTGGCGCGGAGGCCTCGTCGGCGACGAGGACTCCGCGAGAGGCCAACCGGAGCCTCTCGCCTCAAGGATCTTCGTTACGCGCTTCTTCTCGGATTCGTTACGTAAGTTCACTCGATTCTTCGCGGAATAACCGCGAATCGTTTCAATATACGCGGAAGATAAATATTCAGTGCTCTTTTTTCTCCCTCTCTTTGCTTCCCTTGTTTCTCGAGTTGCCGTAATTGTAATTTGTGCTCTTCGCGAGCCGCTCGTTAATAACTCGTGGATAAGTCAGTCCTCGGTTGCTCAATCAAGCGGCTTTCAACGCGCTACCTTCGTTCCGCGTGCGCGAGTGGAAACGCTTTTGCGACGATGTACCAAGCATTGACGTAACTCTCTCGGAAGTGATGATCCGCGCGCGGCGTTGAAACTGAAATATCGAGAAGGACGCGCCGGAAGAAGGCTCCTCTATCGACCAAGTTTCAGAAATTGCAGCCTCTCGCGTCCGGCCCTCGCCCCTCGCCCGTGTTCTTCGCCCGACAACAAAGACCGGCGTAATTTTCGAGATATCACCTAACGAGTGGCTGATGCCCAATTAGGCGGTGAACTTTCCTCCGCCAGGAGCGCACGCGCGAGTCCCGAAATCAGAAGCTTCCTCTCTCTCTCTCTCTCTCTCTCTCTCTCTCTCTGTCTCTCGTCCCGGCTGACACGCGAAACATCAGCTATTCGAGTCGCTCCGTACCCTCGACCGTCCAGCGCGGCTTAATGAAAACCGTGATTGAAGCCGGTGCACGGATGCCGATCGATCCGCACGTATCATGGGGAGGGTGTCCGAGAGCCAATCACTCGAAGAGAGGGAGGGAAGGAGTGGGAGAGTGTACCGTCAAAGGGACGATAATTTTTGTTTCTGCCCCTTCCTTCCGTCCGATGGGATTCATGAGTTGACTCTCAGAGCGCGGATCGTGCTCTGTTAGTTGCGCCACTGTGCGTGCGTTTGTTCGTGCCTCGCAAGGTGCCATGATTAGGGAGCGAGCGGCGTGCAATAATGATAATAACAAATACCAGCCAGCCAGCCAGCCAGCCAGCCAGCCAGCGCGCGAGGGAAGAAATGTTCGTTCAATCGGTATTCACGCGCGGGATCGAGAGTCCCTGTTCTCGTTGTCGGCGGCTTTGGCCGGTTCGAGCCTGCCAGTACGCGCGAATGAAATGAAATCGGGCTGTCGTGGCCCTTTTTTCAAGCTGACAGACACAGTTCGGGGGTGGAAGACAGGGGTGAAAGTCAGCGCTGGCTATCGTGATTATAGTCGAGATTATTCCGAGAGGGTTCCTCGAATTCACCTCGTCGCGCGGATATCCCCTCGCATTCCTCATAAATAGAAACAAACGGCGCCGTCTGGCGGCAACATTTTACATTTTGTACGATTGATTTACACTCGCCTGATTTCGCCGGAGCGATGCAATTCTGACGCGCCTCGACAACCCGAGCGAGCGAGCGAGCGAGCGAGAACCTGTTCGTTCTCCGCGCGGATAAATCTTGCGGCCCCCTTCGTTCCCTCCCTTCCCTCGCGCTTATCTCGACTACATCTCGGGGCTAAATTTAATTGACCGACACTTTGTAGCCGGATAGGTATCGGCTTTTGTTTACCATCGGCTCACCCGACGCACGTATCGATCCCCGCCGTCTTCTTCGGGCACGGGGCCGGGGTGCAAGGGGGATTCCCATTTCGACGAATGACGGATAATTTCTCCTTTTTCCCTGTCGCGCGGAAAAGCGAGCGCCGGTTCGCCGAAACGGGCCGGATACTCCTCGGAGACCTCACGTCGTTTCTCCTCCTTTATTAACTCTCGGTCGATTAGTCGACCTCCAAGTACCGCCAGCCCACCTTCGATCGACCGTTTGGGATTTGCCCCGTCGAATCGTTCTCTTCTTTATACGCTGTAATTGCGGATCCGCGTCGCGCAAGATGTATCGTCCCCGGAATCGTGGACGAAAAACTCGCCTGCGAATTCACGTGCGAGGGAGGAAGTGACGCGAATTCTTTGTTCTTTAACAACTGGCCGCGTGATACGAGACACGTAATATCGCTTGAGAAAGAAATCTTTATTTCGCAACTCAGGCCGGAGTACACGGTCGTTCTTCTTCTTCTTCTTCTTCTTCTTCCAGGTAGCTCGACACACGTCTCTCTGTCTAATTGTCCGGCGTGACATGTTCTTTCTGCACGGCGCGATTTTATCGTTCCGCTGAGGGAACGCACGTATACGTGTCTGAAAAGCAGAAAGTAAGTGAGTCCGACTGATCGCTCATTTTGTTATCTCTCGCCCCGCGCATAATCTCAAGCTTGTCCGCGAAATCATCGAGAATTAAACACTTGTGTGCGACGAAAGAATGACCACCATCTTATCCGCGATCAGATACAATTACGAAGTCGCGTCGTCTACGTAATTAGCGCTACTTGAAGCATTACTCATCGCTGGCGATGATCATTGCGAACGCTCATGTCCGCTCAGGTCTGCAGCAGGAGAGCGACACCGGCCAACGTCCACTTGGCCGGCTTGTCCTTGGTCTTCAAGTTGAACGTCCATACGTACGTCGGGCCACGCATGCGCGTTTTGTACACCGGGCACTCGTACATGTTCCTCAAATCCTGTTTGTCCTGCGTGATCGCGCGCACATTAATCACCGGCATCGCCGGGTATAATTCCTTGGGCCTGGAGTCGACTATGATTCCTGTTTGGACGTCCCAGCGTGCGCCTTCCATAAATATCCCGTGAACGTAAGCCCCGTCTCTCGGAGCTGACCTAACGCGAGCGAATCAGGAAGGAAGTCAGATGCGCGAGTCAGATCAAGGTAACGAGCGATAACTATTCCGTCCTCGTGATCGCGCGAGCCTCCGCTCGGCTAATTCTCTCGCTACTCACGTGAACTCCTCCTTGTTCTTCTTGGTCACGTCGCACTGGAGGCACATTTTGTCGAGCGGCAATTCGTGCCTCCTAGCTGTCGATTGCATGATGGCCGTTAGCAGCGATTGCGGATTGAAAAAGCCGGCTAACCACACCGATGCCGGTAACTGGAAAGGAATATCGCGATCATATTCCACGTCCACACCGCGACTCGAACCTCTCCTCTCGAGCGACCAGCTTTCAGACGTGCACACGCACCACAAAGTCCGTCGACCAGGTCTCCAGCTCCCTCAGTCTCAGCAACAGATCGACGAACCAAGCGGTGAGGCCCAATAGGGACGGGTAAGCCATGCTGGTCCACACCGGCGGCACCTGGTCGAAGAACAACGCGTTCTCCAGATCCTCCATGTCCGACGTGATGGTGAGCTCGCCTTTCAGACCCAGGTCCAGCTCGCGCAGCGACCGTTTGATCTCGGTCGTCAGGATATTCATCCTCTCGCATTCCTGGAACGCGACGATCACGTAGGGCGTTCGTTCTTCCACCTTGCCCATGATCTCCGTCATGTTGAACTCCTCGGGCAGCTTCTCTATGATCTCGTCCAGTACTTGCTTCACCTGCCGCCGGGTCAAACGCGTCGAATGAGTCGCGCAAGGTCGTGAATTTCTCAACAATGCAGTACTGACCTTGTCTTCTCTCGTAACGGTCTGTCCGCCGGAACTTCCGGTGTCGCGCGGCTGCATCTCGAAGATCGTCTTGAACAAATTTTCGGCTGTCATCGTTAGAAAGCCGACCTCCGCGTTCGGATGCAGTCCGTAGAGATACGGGGACTCTGGCGGTATAGCTTCGTCGATGTATGTGTGATAACCGACGAGATCCGTATTGAGAGGCGCCGGGAAACCTTGAAGAACACAAGGTGTTCGACAAGGAGTCGTCGACACACAACGATAATATTAGCGAAAGAAGAATGTAAAAATGTTGTCGTTCTCCTGGCTTACCTGGTGCCAACTGTAGCTCTCCATCGATCAGGTCGGGCTGCATTAATTCTTCAAGGTAGGATACGCAAAGCCTCCTGTCCCAGTCGTCGGTTATGTGACCACCATACATAATTTCTCCGAAAAGATACCTTTTCAAAAATGTACATTGCTGTATTGCTTTGCATTTTAACGCACGGCTTCATCTTAAATTAAATCACGCATCTATATGTATGTGTGTGTGTGTGTGTGTGTTTCAGCGGGAGATGTCTCGTCGTGTCAAAAATTATAATTCTATAAATTATCACGTCTCCAGCTCTGAGAGACTCGAGACTTTCCTCGAAATTCTAGTTGAAAGTACAGTTTTATTAACCTCAAGTCCTCCCAGGGCACTTTCGGGCTCGCTTCCAAATAATTGTAGAGCACACTGACGCTGATATTCAAGTCCCCCACATTGAAAGGATATATCTTGTTCCAACCTTGAGGCCCGAATTTCCGACGTTCCGCGACGACAGCGTGGAAGTAGCACAAAGAGAATAAAATCGCTTTAAACTCCGCTTCCTTCGAGCACATTTCTAGGGTCTCCTGAGTGAAGTTATCCAGAGCTTTGTGCAAGTTTGCTTGCATACCGGTGGGTGGTTCGTTCGTGATCTTAATCGACGACTCCAGAATACCCTGAAAATCATTGCAGAATTACAATCAATGTTAAAAGCCAACTTACCGATCTTTCTCCTTTACGTGATTCTTGAAAAATTCATTAGGCTGAAAATTGTATCAAGGTATCACGAGCGAGATATTTTATATAAAGGATATCTTTCTTTAAATAGAAACCGAGACCGTTTCAACCTGAGGTATAATATGGCTGGCTGGCGTGCTGGCTGGTTCTGCGCTCATGAAAATTCTGTAATCGGGATGAGAGCCCTCCGCGGCCATTTCCAGTTTCTTCTCCAGCAGCGGCAGCCACTTTTTTACGAGATGTATATTTTGCAATACCACCCAATGACCATCTTTGGCCGCTACGTCCATGGCTTGCTCGGCCACCGTTTCTTGCCCTTGGCCGAGGGACACGTTGTGGAAGTTTTGATTATCCGATGTGAAACGGAGTCGCCGGCCCAGATCCTCTACAACCTGAGTATCCGCATATCGTTAGTCTTGTCGCTTGATTATCCGGCATCTCGGCGTTTCGCCGAGGTGCACTTTTCGAATGTCATCTGATCCTCACTGGCGTAACTGGCGAGAGAGGATCAGATCGCTCTTCAAGCAACGTTATTCGTACACTGAGAAAAATATCCGAAATATCCGATTGTTAATTTCGTTATCCGATATAATCCAAATATCCGGTGTATCGTTAATCGGATATTTCGGATCGGATAACAAAATTAACAATCGGATATTTCTGATATTTTTCTCCGCGTATAAAAAAGAAAAAAAAAAAAAAGAAGAAGAGAAAAAGAGGGAAGGAAGAGAAAGGAAATATTCTATCGTTACCTTCAACGGATTAACTCCGGGCGACAGGATGAAGAAGATGGGAGTGCTCGGGCTGGTTTCTTCGAAAGATTTCGAGAACTCCACCGTCCTCGCTTCGATGTACTTCTGGCCGAGCTTCTCCTCGATAAACGCAGCGATGGCATACGTCATTCTGTCCGGTCTCAGGGCTCTCAGCATGCATAGACGTTGTATAGCCGTTTTGTTCTTCCATTCCTGGGGAAACTTCTCGCGCTCCGGGCATTCGCACTCCACGAACTTTTTCCAGCGTTTGGCGGAGCTCTCGATGTCCCGGTCGAGATTCCTACGGGCGAGCAAGACCGGTGAGAAACTCGTGCGACCGCGGGACAACAGTTCCTCATTCAGATCCGGCGTACCGAAACTCCTCCCTCGTAGCGAGGCTTCTTATGCCGCCCCAGCCGGTGTTGGTGAGAAAATCGACGGGCGAGGTGACGTGCGGCGTTATAGGAAATCTTAGGAGAAAGTCGAGCTCGCCCGCCGTAACTTCGTTTCTCACCAGTAAAATCTGGAACGCCATTTGCGAGGCGAAGATCAGCTTATCGCACTCGAACAGTCCCCTGCTGGTGTACATGAAGACCGAATACGTGATGCACTCGATCAGATTCTGCACTCTGCCGGCAACATCGGGCGCCGGGTCGGCCTTCAGGATCGCCTTCTGGAAGACCACGCTGAAGGCCTTTAGCGAGAATTGATAAATGGGATTAATGGTATTCAAGTCGTTTAGAATGAAGTACAGCAAAGATGCTCTCGCTGCCGCTGGTCTGTACAGCTCGCGAGCCGCGTCGATCTGCCGGCTGGTGCCGCGAGCCTCCGTAACCTTCGACTCGATCTCCGCCGCAGTGCGCTTCGTGGTCTCTAAGTTCTCCACGAGGGATGTGTCTTCGAGAACGTTGCTGCCAGCCGATGACAGTCTACAGTAATGACATTATTATGATGTCATTATATATACAGGGTGTACCCCGAGAGGATGGGGGGGAATAACTTTTATGTTCTTTAAAAATATTGAACAGGTATTTTTTATTTCTCAATCCAATGATCATTTCTGGAGAATTGCGGAAAATATAATTTTTTGCGATTACAGCGCCATCTATCACGAATCAAAAAAAAGGTTTCGGACAAAATTTATGTATTTTGTCGCGTAGAATCTGTATCTGCAATAAAAAATGGGGGTTTCCATTTAAGATTTCAAAGTTGCCCCCAACCCCTACCCCCAGGGGGTGGGGTGGGAGATCGAGTTTGATATCATCGGATGTCCCCCTTTGAGACTAACAACTTTCATTAACCACTTTTTTTTATCCAATGCATAGTTCTCGAGATATTTCAATGTCTTCAGATAAATCGTGCACCCTGTATATATATATATATATATATATATATATACAATATATTTCGAAGGATCATGGATATATGAGCTGTGAATAATCGTAATTCGAAGGAAAAATATCTTCAGAACTGATAAGAAAATAATACCGTTTGTCAGTTTAATAAAATATTATTCACGAGATGTTTAAACTCTCTCTCTCTCTCTCTCGAGAGAGAGAGAGAGAGAGAGAGCCAAGATCTCTCCCATCAGGTAGATTTTGCAAAATTTATCGGATTTTGTCTAGCAGAAACATCCAGAAGCGGCTAATACGAACGATAATTTCGAGACGAGTCGAAAAGTTGTACCTCGACAGAAGCGAATCTTCGAGGCTGTTGAGAGTGATCTTAAAGTCGTTCTGTTGCCTCGTCAGCTCCGCCTTCAGCTCCTCCAAATCTGGCCGCTCGGCCTTAACTACTTCCGCAAGCAACTGATCCTCCAAGCCATCCCTCGTCACTGTGAAATTAATCAGCGTAGTTTGCGCCTGCATTTCCGGCTTGTAATGGGGATTAGCCAGCTTCGTGTGCAGCAGCAACCTGAACATAGGATTGTATTCCACCTCCTTATCGCCAATCTTAATGGCTCGGCCTTTCTTGATTAAGTTTCGGCCGAGTAGAGGATCCAAGACGGGATCTACGCTTTCACCGATGTTCTCCAGCAGCACCGTAGATCCGTTCGCTAATGATAACTCGATCACATCCAAGTAACCTCGTTGACCTAATCTGATCACTTTCAGCTCGTCTCCGTATTTCTCCTTGATCCACTTGATTCCCTGAAGCTGCAACAGATTTCTCGTTAAATCCAGCCGGCCAGCCCGGCTTTCGCTGCGGCTTTTATCTCTTTTTTTCTTTTGTTTGTTTTTCACGACGTACCTGTGGATCTATCATTAGCGGCCAACGATCGGAGTTGGTCAATATAGTGGCGTTCTCCGTTGACATTCGATCGTTCGGCAGTCCCTCGTTATTCCATTTTGCAATTTGCGTGTCGTTCGTCAGCAGCGAGAGAGGATCCAAGCCCTCGGTAATTGGTACCGTCGGCTCGACGCTACGTATGAAGGCTAACCATTGCTTGTTCAGCAGATCCTGCCGAAATTGTTTGGTGAAACAACCGACGTAGGACACAAAGGCCGTCACGAGCAGCACGTCGCCGGGTAGCGTCGACGCTTGCTGCATAAAGCTGGAAGCATTTTTCTCTCTTGTTAACTGATCGCGCTCATAATGAGCGGCGTGTGAGAGAGCGGCGGATGCACGCGTGTAGTGCTCACTTGGCAACCGAGTCAGCCCAGCGAACGTTCTCAGACGCGAGACCGCCGACCAGTCTGTTCGCCAGCGCGATCGTCGAGTTGGTAGCGTCCGCTTCCTGTTGGCACTTCAGCTTCTCCGACGTCGCTTGCTCAAAGTCCGCCGTCAACTTGGCCAACTGCTCCTCCAAGGACTGCGGGGGAAATATATTCGAATGATACGAGCACGAGAGCGGCGACCGCTGGATGAACACCGCGAGGATGAAAAGCGCGATGAAGTCTTTATCGGCGCGCGCCGAGCGCGCTGAATAATGCAAAATCGCGCGTCGACTTACGGCAACTTTCCGCTTAATACCGCCGAGTTTGTCCTGCGCCGCGGCCAACTCCGCGTTCGCCTGCGCGAGGGCCTTCCGTTTCGGCTCCACGTCGCAGAACACCTCGTAAAACTTGATAATATTGATCACCCAGGCGCACAAGCCCGCTGCGGCCGCGGACTTGGATCTCACGAATTCGGGCTCGAATTCGGAGTCCTTGAGGTACGGCTGTATCGCTTTGATCACCTCGGGATGTATATTCTCCTTGTCGTAATTGATCAGGCTGTCCAGGAACGTGTCCACCTTCGCCATCATAATCTTCCACCGAGAAAACGAGGAGATATGACTAACGACGCTTACCCCCCCCTCCCCCCTCCCCGAGCGGCGAGACCCGGGGCCGATGGGTGGGGATCTCTCCAGTCGTTCTGGCCGATCTCACAGTACCTTGGCGGCCTTCCAGCTCCGGTCCTTGGGTACCTTGCCAGCTGGTGCCAAAAGGACCATGACCGCGGCGGTGACGTTCGTTACAGCGCCGGGCGGTGAGCCGAATGATTTGAGTTCCGTTAAATTCGCCTTGTTCAGGGTGTTCAAGGCCTCCTGCGCGGCCAGCAAAGCGGGCTCGGCCTTCATCAGATCCGCCTCGCAGTCTTTCTGCTTCTTCGACACTTCCTCGGCTATCATGGCCACTTTGGATTCCTCCTCGTCCGCTGTACGAGAAGAGAAATTTTCCTCGAAACTAGATGCTTTCTCGAGAGAGAGAGAGAGAGAGACATGTGCGGAATAACTCTACCATCGTAGCGTGCAATGATATCGCACCTATCGCCTTCTCTTTCTGAACCTTCTCGGTCTCGACGCCGACTATAGCGATCAGAGCGTCCGCGGCGTCGTTCTTCTGCTGCAATTCTACCTCCTGCACGGCCAGCTTCTCCTTCAACTTGTCCACTTGTACCGCCGTCGACCGCAACTTGTCCAAGCCGTTCTCCAGCCTCGCCACTCGGGCACGCAGCTCGGACGATTTCGTCTTCAGCAGCCTGATGTACAGACTTATCTGCTCCAGGAAGGACTTTGGCGTCGTGTAATTGTAGCGACGCTCGCTGCTCAAGTAGTGACGGCTGGCTATGTTCACGCTGGTGTGCGCGTGAGCCATAAACTTGGCGGCCGATTCTCTGTCGTGTCATGCGAAGATGCGCGTTTACCGAAAGTTTTGCACTTTGCTACTTGCCGCATTCGATCGTTACCTGTAAGTTTCCGGCAGCTCCTCCAGCTCCTGTAAGAATCGCTTCGACACGGACATCAGTGCCTCCTGGGGCCACTCGTGAAACCAATTTATCATCGTGCAATTTATGATCGCCGGGAACTTTCTGGATCTGACCCGCAGCGTGGAGCCAACCGGAGAGAAGCACAATACTGTCCTGAGCTGCCGGCGCACGCGGTCGATGAAGAATTTCCAACAGTTCTCGCGCGTGTCCAACATACCGGCGCCTTTCACTTCGTTGCGCACGCCTGTCAGTTTCCGACAATACAGATATTTGAGACTCGTCGGCGAGACACCTCACCGGATGGTGGTCGCCTCACGCCTCTTCAATCAAGATCGCTTTCGTTACCTGCTATTATATTCTCCACCTCGTCCTCGGCGAACAAATCGGGTACTTCTCCCGACGCGAGCATGTCGTTGATAAGTACCAGAAATTGCTCGTTCGGCACCTGCGCGTCCGTCATCAAGAACATAATACCGAGATTCTTCAAGCCCGCCTTCGAGTAGAGAGCGGCTAGCTCCAGTTTCAAGTCGCTCACACCGTAGCCTTTCTTCAGCTGAACTTGGAACACCTCCAACGAGCTTATGAAAGCCGCCAGTCGCGAGAGGCTCTGTTTGCCGGAACCACCTACACCCACCAAGAGCGCGCTGCCTCTGGGCGATTCTAGGATCCTATTCACGCGGCACACGTGCATCATAGCGTCTTCGAAGAGCACCAAATTCATCGCCGCTACCAGATCGTTGTAGCTGACCATTGCTTCCGACAAGAGCCGATGTAGGGTCGCCCAGTCGTTGACGGGCATATACTTCGGCTCCCCGACACCACCTAAATTTTACGGTTCTCAAACAGTCGTTGGGAAAACTAGATTCATCGGCTCTGAGTGAAGAAGATGAGGAACGTTTTCAATGTCGATTTTGTTAGGACGAAAGAGTGAACTTTTTTCTAGACCTGATGATTTCGCGCATCTTTGCAGACATCATAAAGACGCGGTTACTTCATAGGTTTTAGAGAATCGTACGATGCAACATCCGTAAATGTAACATCCAGATATGTTAAGAAATAAACATGGACCTGCAAAATGGCAGTAGATGTTGGGTCTCTCCAGAATCGCACCCTCGTCCACTTCTTCCACATTCTTCTTCAGGATGTCGAGTTGCAGCTTCAAGAAACTCTCAATGTCCTTCTCGTCCGTCAGCTTGTCCCCGTAGACGCGTTGAGTCTCGTGCATCCAGAGCCTGATTATGTCCACCGAGGACTGTAGGCACTCATTGCCGCTGAACAACAAACCTTGGAAGCAGTTGGAAAGCTCACGGAGATTGAAGATGTAATGGAACTTTACGGCTGTCGGTAGGAACATCTGAGCGCAACGGTGGTGCAACTGAATGCTCGCTTGCACGATGTTAGGACATAATTCGGTGACGCTTGCGGGAAACCTAATTATCACGATCATTGTACGTTTTATTCCGAGAATCACCGTTATAATATTAAAAAATTATATTAGAATTATTGTATCTCACTGTTTCTTTTCTAAAATCGATAATTAATATCACGACTATTGTAATATCGTAAGTAAAGTAAAAAAAAATCGAGACATCTTTTAGAGAGAATCCAACGGTCTCGTGTATATTTAATTCAAGCTGGAAGCTTCTTCAATTTCTTATCGCGATTACCTGTGCTCCACATTCAGAAGATGCTGCGACAAAATAGAAGCGTATACGGTCGTCAAAGAGTCGACGTTGGGAAAACTGACTGCAAATACCGCGAAATGCCTCTGCAGCCTCGGATTGATCGTGAACGATCCGGCGGTCGGATTCATGCAGCTGACATACTGACAGTTATGTATGTCCTTCAGGCTCAGCTTGGTACGATCGTACCAGTGACCGTAGTCCAGGTGCTGCCTGATGAGCGTATGAGGCTGAACGGTGCCGTACGCATCCACCTCCGGCATGTTCATGTCATCGATGAAGTACACCAGAGTTTTGTTCCCTGGCGGACCGTAGTTCCTACCCGCTTTCTTCTCCAACGATTTCTCCAGGATCTTCTGCAGCATCTCAGACGACGTGTAAAAATTAAACGGTACGTTGGAGATCGCGTAGTTCTCAGGGAGCTGAAGAAGCTTCTCCGCCACGAGGACAGTCTTGCCGCAACCGGCTGTGCCGACCAACATTACAGGATGTCTGTCTGACATCAGGAGATCCAGAAAGTATTTAATTCTGATCGATTCCGACGTGTAGACCAAGGCAGCTTGCAAGGGTATCTCCGGGTCCAGCTCGAACTTTGGAAGACGTTCCGTCCAGGGAACGAAGCTCTTCGTCTCGTTGTCGATGTAATAATCGAACACCGTGCCCTGGGATGGAAACTTCACCTGTTTGAACTCGTTGACCCACCATTTGGTGAACTCCACTCGATAGTCCACGGTCTGATCCTGAAACATGGAGGAGCCGAATGCCCAGACTGCAGCGAACGCGAAGTAAAGCTCGTAATGGTCCTTGTGGAAGTCGCCGCTCGTCAGCTCCGGTCTTAGCAGGCAGTGCAGCAGATGACACAGCATCTCGACGTGCGCCATGTCGGCAATGGGTGTTATCTTCTTGAACCTGGTCCTCAGAGTCTCCAGGCAAGTGGGGATGTACTTGTCGAAGAGCATCACCAGATTCGACTTCTCGTTCGGCAACGGTCGCTGCTCGACCCAGCTGGTCACATACGGGTTCCAGCCCAGATCCTGCGGGTTTATGTACAAAATACCGGCGCGCGACACCGTGGCGGGTGTTGCGGTCCGCAGGTTTGAGATCTCGAAGAGCAATCTCATGGTTGGCGTCAAGGCGATTCTCTCGTTGCTGGCCAACGTAAGAACTTTGTTGTCGTCCATCACGGTATTCAAAGACTCGATCCACATCGGGTCGATGTCACCGTCCAAAACGATCCACTTGGGATTATCGCCCCCCAGGTTGGCCTGTTCCCTCATAATCACCGAGAAGAGCCCGTCCTTCCACTCGCGCGTCGCCGGATTGATGATCCCGAAGAGCTCGTCGTTGGTCACAGCTTTCGGATTCAGATCGTTGTACACCGCTCGTCTCTTCATGTTGTGATAAGTCTTGAACAGCGTCTTCCAGACCTGGGTTTTTCCGGAGCCAGCTGTGCCCACGATGAAGACGGAGTGCCTGACCTCCAACAGCTCCTCGAGCTGCACGACTTTGAGGATGAATGCGTCTTCTGGCTGCAGGCTCAGATCGGTAGCCGCCTGCTTCACCATTTTCTCGAACTCGACGTCTCTTTTCCTCGGCACGTCCAACGCCGGGAACAAGTCCGCGATCAGTCCCATGAAGACCGGCAGATCGTCCGATATCACTTTCGGTATGTTGAAGTCCCTCAGAGCTCTCATTAACACCTGCTCTTCCGGTCTGCCGGGGTCGCCTCTCTTCAGACTGCCGGCGACTACCAGGACTGACTTGATCGCTCGCAGACCCCAGTCGTAGTGATCCTGCTTCGACAACAACTCCTTGCACAGCGTGTACAGCGTGATGAACTTCCTCGCGAGCACCCTGGCGTCCTGGAATCCCTCCGCCACCAGCATAATCTCGCAGATTAGCTCGAAATCCGGCACCACCATGGCGCAAGGGCGAAACAGAGCCTTCAAGTTCTCCGGCAATTCCGTGCGACCGGCGTAGCCGGGATTCATGGTGATGAATATCCCGACCGTCGGCTCCAGCGCTATCATTTCGCCCATGAAGTTAAACTTCTCCTTCTTGTCTCTGATCGCGTCCTGGATCGACTTCACCTGTACAGCGACCACCGACAGCACCTCCACGGTGATCCTGTTGAACTCGTCGAAGCAGCCCCACGCTCCGGTCTGTGCCAGTCCCTTGTATATATTGCCGCAGGACTTGTAGTCCATCTGCTCGGAGCAGTTGAACACGTACACCATTATGCCGAGGGCTCTGCCAAGATCCTTCGTCGTTTCCGTTTTCCCGGTTCCGGCTGGCCCCGCAGGACCACCGCCCATGATGAGGTGCAGCGACTGCGTCAGGGTTATGTAACATCTGTCCGTCAGCGGCGTTATGACCAACCTGACGAGAACGACGAAACGTGAGTGAATCCACAGATGTTTGTCCACGTTCATCGAGGGAACGGGGGGGGGGGGAGGGGGGATTTGTTTCCGACGTTTCGTGAATATTCAGTGAACAGAAACTGAAGTCTCTCAGGCTGTTTCTCTCCCTGAGAAAGTCAGTCAACTGAAATGTCCACGAAACGTCGGGCAAAAATTTACGATGGATACAACGGCGACCTCGAGATCGAGTGTTCGCGCGCGAGAACTTAAAATATTGAAATCGATAGATGACAGATGAATACAACAAGATGCACGCAAAAGATGATAATGATGACGATAGGTAACACCTTGGTGTATTGCCCAGATACTCATGCGAGTACTTGAACTGCGCGTCGCAGATATTCGCGAAGCAGTCCTTCTCCTTCTCGTCCCATCTGTGTCTCAGTTGACTCTGCCACTGGAAAGCCTGTGAGCTCTCCACCTTCGACTGCACCAGCTTCGTCACGACGTCCCGGGAGTGCACGTCGATCGTGCAGATCGTCATGACCTTCTGTCTCTCCTGCTTGGTCAGCTCGCCTATCAGCAGCGTGATCAAGATGCTCAGTTGCGAGATTTGTTTCTTCAAGTAATCCTTGATGGAGTTGTCGTAGCCTTCCTCGAGGCGCGCGAAGGCTATGTTCACCTCGGTGGTCCACCAGATCTGCGTGCCGCAGAGGGACACCTGAGCCGGGTAGTCGAAGAGCCACTGTTCTCGCGGCTTTTCCTCGTACATCACCACCGCCTCGCTGAAGTAATGGCGGATAGACGCGCGCATGGCGCTCTGAAGGCGATTCAGCCAGGCCTCCACGGCTCCTTCGCAGATCATCTCGCAGTTGGCGAACTCCACGTATTCGCCGTCCTTGGCGAACATGCCTGAAATGCATGAGAGACTTATGAGGGGCTGATGATAGCCACCGATCGAGATCGGAGCAACGCTCGACGGAATTCGATTGTTCACCTAAAACGCGTTTCAGCGAGACGCTTTTGTCGTCGAAGTTCAGCCGCGCCATGGAGTCGAACAACTTCGTCAAGTGCTTCGCCACTATCTCGGGCTGGTTCCCGTTCGAGAGGACGTCCAGCAGGTCGCTCGACGAGACGAAGTAAAATCGTGGGAAAGCGAGGCGCTTTGTCTCCAGATATTCCGCCAAGGCTTTCTCGCACAAAACGAGTCCTTTCTGCAGAACGTCCAAAGCGGAGACAAGGCCGTCCTTGTTCGTCGCCTCGACGACGTTGGGCGTCTTCGCCATCTCCTCCGTCATCTCCTTGAACTCCTTGTCGATATGGTCGAACCGCTCGGCGTCCACCGGCAATTGCCTTCGGATGTCCTCCGACGACATGAAGATGCTCTCGAGGTGCATCCAGGTGCGCTGAACTTCGAACCATATCGTCGTCACCTGGTCGGCAATACTCAGCTTCTTCTGCCACGACGACACCTCCTCTAAGAAGTGCGCGATGAATTTCGAGGTGATCAGATTCTGCAGTTGCACCTGCGACCCGGAAGAAAGCGGCTCTTAAAACCCAAAGAATGACGTTCCCGTTACATCGCAGCAAGCTATTGATCGCTTCAGCATCAAAGCTGAATGTAATGTGATATATCAGTGAAATAAGTTGTCTCTTTCTCTCTCTCTCTCTCTCTCTCTCTCTCTCTCTCTCTCTCTCTCTCTCTCTCTCTCTCTCGTGCATAATTTTCAGCGAGAATGCAGACGCAAATACTGTGCTGAGAATCTCTCTCACAATCTAACCTGGTTCTCTTCCAAAGTTTCGATCAATTCTTCGCTGGCTCTTATCAAAGTAGCGCCCGTCCGGGCGTGAACCTCCCGCTCGAACTCCATTTTCGACCATGTGACGTTCAACTCTTTCATATATTTCTCCATGGACATTTCCTTAACCGCTTTATCCACGATGTTCTTCACCTCCTCCTCGCACTCGTGGAGATTCAGCTCGAGCAGGTCGGCTAGAGTCGTCGATTTGTCCATTACGAAACGAACCTACGCGTAAGAAAGTTGTCTGACGACGCAGCTACGTCTTCGGGATGAAAAGCAGCTATTCGACGCGGCGTGATTTACTTTAGCTGAATTTGATGAATCTAGTTCGGCGGAGGAAGTCGCCAAGTGAGGTAAATGACGTGTTCCGTGTTTTGTAGCATATTTATTGCAAGATCATACAGTGATTCTTACAACTAATGCGAATGATGGCGAGCTATAAGTTTGTGGCTTATCTAATTTCTAGCGTTCTCAGTGCTGAGTATATTTAATCTCTTATTCGCGCATCTCTCTTGTATCGCCATGCTAAACGTGCGCCGTATTAAATGAAATGAAGAATATTCAACAGAGATACGTACATTTAGCACGAAATGAGAGAAGCTGAGGACATGTTTTTACTGTACAACAAATGAACCTTACTAACTATGCTTTTGCCAGCTGGACTATCGCATGCTGCGTTGTAGAGAGAGAGCCGTGCTCTTATAAAGGTATCTTTTCTTATAAAAGGTTTAGAAAAATAAGATAAAAATATCTTTTATCGTATAAATGTCGGGAGAGAAGAATACAACGAATAATATGGTGCGCAGAGAGAGAGAGAGAGAGAGAGAGAGAGAGAGAGAGAGAGAGAGAGGTAGAGAGAGAGGTAGAGAGAGAGAGGTAGAGAGAGAGAGGTAGAGAGAGAGAGAGAGAGAGAGAGAGAGAGAGAGAGAGAGAGAGAGAGAGAGAGAGAGAGAGAGAGAGAGAAGTATCATGCGGAAGTAAGTTCTATCAAAATCTAAAGTGTCTAAAAGTGTGTGCACTGTGTGAGACAACTGTGAGAGAGGATAATGAGAAAGAGTAATTGAAAGATATAGAGATAAGATAAATCACATCGTGCGCGTATATACAGTGGACTTACGGTCATTTCTGGAGTCATGTTGCCCAATTTCTGTAACACCGATAGCGTATGTACAGCGGTGCAACTAACTCTAACACTCATGTGATTTGTACATACATTCGCGCGTAATGGGATCGTTATGTACAATTTCGCGGAAGGGGGAGTTTAATCGGAGCGAGCGCAATGATCGATCGTAATCGGTTAAACGGGTCTCACAAGAGCGGACATCGAGCGGACTCGAGCTCGCACTCGAGTCTGTATCTTTCAGCTAACGAGGCCAACGTATGCCACCTAATTTTCGCGGGAGCCTGAGTCGTAAAAAAACGCTCGCTTTGCGAATCCCGGCGATACCTTGGTACTATTCATCAGCTGCCGCCAATGTCTCTCTCGAATAGCCGGATTTTGTAGCTCTCCCACGGCACGCAGCGACGTAAGCATGTTCTTCACCGTCGCTTCCAGCGAAATGTACGCGTCCCACGGCCTCATTTCTTTGTCCAATGCTACTGAAAAAGAGGTTCACGTTCGGTTAAGGAAAAATTAAAGTCGCTTCGTCGACTATATCCTGACTGAGAAAGGGAAAGGGCAAGTGCACAGGCTTTTGCGTAATACAGTATACGTACATAACGCATAAGAGAATAAACCAATTAGTTTTCTTCATTTCCCTCCCCAGGATAGAAATGAAGAATTTTGATTGGTTGATTCTCTTATGCGTTATGCAGAAGTCTGTGCTCTGTGCCCGAAGTGGGAGAGGGAAAGAGCGAAAGAGACACGCTTTTGGCCGCGATTTGAGGATAAGTGGTATGTACAGGTACTTTTTGTAGCTCAAGTTATGCGAAGGTGGAAGAGTGGTGATACGTCGTCGGGTGGTGTGCGAGATGTATATTTTACGGAAATATATTCAGGTTATAAAGCTGTGCGTGATTTGACGAGGCTCCCCCTCCCTGGCGTCGCGGACAATTTCTCCGCTACTAACCACGTATCTCCTTCGCGAACTTTTTGCACTCGATGTCCATATTCTCCACGTCGATTTTCCTCCAGGGCGTCGTCTTCCAGCCCTCGATACTGCTCTGCACTATATTTGCATAATCCCAGAGCTGCTTGAGCATTTTCAGCTCTCTCCTGCACTGCCTCAGCTGCTTAAATTCGGGCACCGTCACTTCGAACAACGAGGCTGACTCCTGTATATCCTTCATTTGCCGTTCCAACATTAGAATCTCCTTGTGCGCTTCGTCCAACAGCTCGTACGGGTTCTTGCAGTCGTACTTGAAGAACGCGTACCGCCGGAACGCTTCTCGGTATTGACCTATCGTGATGTCGAAGGCGGAGATGCGACCGCGTATTCTCGACACTTCACCTGTCATTGTTAAGCGAGTTTGACTGGAGGAGAATTTGAATTTTTCTATAATTATTAATTGCGATGTTCCAAAACACCGATATGAATTTTCGTCTTGAAACAAAAAAAAAAGAGGCCAAAGTATGCATCATTATTGCAATCTCAAGGAACAAGTGTCTCACGTTGTCTACTTGTGCATGTATGCTTTTAATGCGCAACGCAACGAGATGGAATAACAAATTGACCGACTTAATAAACGTCGCCCGGCGTCTCGTCCTACGGACCTGCCTGTAATGGAGCAACTTGCTGCTTCACCATAAGAGCGAGTTTTTTCGTGTTCGCCCACTGCTCCGGCAGCTCTTGCAGTAGTACGTTCACTTCTTCGGGTATGTCTTGATCGTAGAACTTGAGCAACTCAATGGTTTCCTCTAATGGATGAAACATCTCGTCCGTAGTTGGCTGGCGTTCCTTCACTTGTAGTAGGTAGCCCATTACGCTCACCAGAGCGGCATAATCGCCCGGTTGTACTTGTTGTAGCAGACCCTCGTCCGCTAATCTGAAAATCAAATGAAACGTTTGCGAAGTTAGTACCGTAAGTATATCTTAAATCTGCCGATGTTATATAAAATTAGGACAACAGCCACTCTCGCCACAGAAATGTCTGTGCAAAATTACCTTATAAACGAGCCCAAATCCGAGAGGCTACTTGTTACACGATCGACCAAGTGTTTCTTAAACATGCTCGACCATTTGCACACCGTGTTCAATACCGACTGTCTGAAAGGTCTGAGGTCTACCCTGAACCAGCCGCAGAACACCTTCGACAGATCCATTTCCTCGATCTCGAGATAGAGGCCCTCGTAGAGGTCGATTTGTTCGCGAAATTGCTCCATTTTCGGCGGTGACTTTGCCGGACCTTTGGGGTCTTGAGCCGCCACCATGTCCATTTCCTCCACCGACAACTGCCGGCTGTACTCGAGAAATTGTTGCATCACCACGTCCCTATCGTCCAGCCATAAGTAGGCATAGCCTAATGAACGTTGATTGATCAAGTCGGATTTTATTTTAGATACAAGATACATTAGATGACAAGCCGACGATTCTTAGAATTTAATTCTAGATATGTAATTTTTCATCATTCGAGACTATTCTTACTTCACTCGTATTCTCGAATTAAATTACTAAGGCTCGACGAAAGCACTCGTGTAAATTCTGTATCGTATACCTTCGAAATTGCTACAGAAATCAGTAGCGTCTTCCACGGCGGTAGCTACACTCGTCAATATCTCATCTTTCATTCCCTTGATGTCATCGTCGGACGCCAATTCCTCGGCGTATCCCACGAAATCGCTTTTTAATCGCGGCACCAACGCGGACATGCCGGTGATGTCATCCAGTAAGCCGATAATTAATTGATCGAGTCCGTCCGGATCTTCCGGTTCCAGCGACGGCATGTAATACAGGTCAGGCTCCCTCAGTTCCAATTTTGCTTCGAGTAATGGCTCGCACTGACCGACTGGGTCCATACTTTCTGCCAAATATCCTAAACGCAGTGACACAAAAATGCATTAACGTAACACAATTTGACCGATGCAAAACTCTTCATATTCTTTCACTCCGCGAGATTATAAATGAAGGGAGTCAACTCTGGCTAGTAGAAAATTCACCCCGTCCCGTCCTTGTTGGCCGGTTAAATCTTTGCAAGACAAAAGAAGATGAGATGAACTTTCAAATCAAACTTTTAAATCTATTGGATTGGCAACTAAGTGATTGCGGATTTTGTCGACAGATGGATTTTACACTTTCTTTTGTTTCGTTAACGTGTTCAAAGCACCTAACCTATATTTTTTTCCTATTGTTTGGACTTCTACCTTTCATTTAGTACAAAAATTATATCGATTAGTTGTTTAGTTTTGTTTTTATCCCAATTTAAAAATGGAAGAACAAGACGTGCACTTCAGACATATTTTATTGTATTATTTCCGAAAAGGCAAGAACGCATCGCAAGCACACAAGAAGTTACGTGCCGTATATGGGAATGAAGCCTTGAAAGAAAGGCAGTGTCAAAATTGGTTTGCCAGATTTCGTTCTGCTGATTTTTCATTGAAAAATACTCAACGATCTGGCCGTCCAGTTGAAGTCGATGAGACCCATATCAAGGCCATTATCGATTCAGATCGTCATAGCACAACACGTGATATCGCAGAGAAGCTCGATGTATCGCATACATGCATTGAAAAAAATTTAAAAAAGCAAATTTAAAATTTCGAATTTTCATTCTTATTTAAAATCCGCAATCACTTAGTTGCCAACCCAATAATATGCTATTCGGTCACGAGGTTTCGTTGAATCCTCTAAAATAGATATCAACCTAATGAACATCCGACCGCTTTGCGCAGGAACTCGGTCACTTTGTTGTCGATGTAATTGACGTATTTCTGCCACGCCTCCTGTTCGCTGTCATTAATTTGAAAGAGTATCCTGTTTTCATGCAATATCGAGTGTATCTGCTCAGCCGCCCTCGTTATCTCCGCGTAACGTCTCGATACTTTTTCCGGACGGTCTTCCAACGCCAGCAGAGTGTCCTTACGACGATCCTTCCGTTCTATCAGGGGTGTTTTCGTCCAAGGCTCCAAAATATCTCCGATTTTCTCGACGTTCGATTGAACGGCCTTCATCCGCTTCCACAGTCCTTCCACGAGATCGCCCAGCTCCGTTATGTATTCCAGCAGTCCGTCCGATCTCCAGCACAGCTCGTTCTCTCCGCGGGATATCAGGGAATCGATTCTCGCCACTTCCATCTCGATTAGATCGAACTCTACTCGCTTGGTTGTTTTACGTATGTTGTTGTACGAGTCGACCGTGCTGCCCAGCATCGTGCGAAACTTCCTAAACGTCTCCGCACTTTCAGATACCTGATGAATGTTCCACAAAGGATAAGACGATATTAAATGCATCCGACAACGATATGAATTATTCTAACACGAGAGAGGATTCTTCGAGAATGATTCGGCGAGGTCGTAACGCAACACGCGTCATACCGTGATCGCTTCTTGGGGAATGTCAGAGCGCGACATTTGCTTGAGGTAATTCACTTCCTTTAGCACCGCGAGAAGATCAGGATCAAAATTTAACAGCAAAACACCGTCGGTCTCTCTGCAAACCAGGTGACGATTGAGACCGACATCGACGACACGCGGTACCATTTGCGCCCACTCGGTGAACAGGTCGTCCTCCTTGTCGGCGAATATTTTTATCAGCCTTTCGTAACGTGCCATTATATTCTCACCCTCGTCGCTATGCACGATCCTGCGAACGAGAGTGTCTGCGGTTACTATCGCTGAATAAAGTCACCACGATACACGTCTCTGCATTTCTCACGGACTTCATTTTCTCCCGTAAAAGAAGAAAAAAGTATACCGACACCTCATTTGGTAAAAGAAAGAGAGAGAGAGAGAGAGAGAGAGAGAGGTGGATTTTTAAGTGAAATAGAGAGAATCCTTGGAAAATACGCGACAGTTCCAAGCGTAACAATTGAAAGATAATTGAAGCGTAATATATTTGCACATTTTGCAAAGATCTGTTGATTCTCCGCTCGTTCGTCATACGTACGGGTGTGGCATGGCCTTAAACGACTGTACGGGCAAGTCGATACGCTGTTTCAACATGCTAGTGAACGTTAAAGCAGCTGCCAAGGGCGGTAGATTAATCAAAGCACCTCGTGTGCCACGATTGAACAGAACTTCCACCACCGACAGTTCCATGTTCAAAAGTTCCAGGATCCTGGCGTATCGATTGGTGAACTGCTTTCGAATGACGGGACGCTCCAACACCGACCCGGCGATATTGATCAGCTGGATGAAAGAAACAAATTATACACCGAGCGTATCTCATGTGCTACGTTGAGCGATGCGCCACGTGCCAGGAAGGGAAATCTGCACCTTGAAGACACTCTCGAGATTGCCACAGTCATCGAAGGCTTGACACAGAATCGCCGACAGTTTGCTGTCAAGATCGGTGATGGACTCCGCGAATTTTGTGCAGTCGACGACGAAGGACTCGTCGTCCGGCTCGAGAACGTCGCTGGCTCTCACGGTGAAGGAAACGAAAAGCTGCTGGAATTCCTTGAACACGCTTATAATCCTGACGCTCAAGGACCGCCCGAGAATGCCGCCTATTTCAATCTTCTCCAACTTGGAAAATTCGAGGACGGTATCGAAGAGCCACTCGATATCAGCCAGCCGTTTCAGGAAAGCGTCGAGGCGAGTGAAGACGGCGGTCGAATTAAATGTCCAAGGCGGGGCTTCCGCTTTCAAACCAGGCGTGTGCTTTCTCAGCTCGAACTGTCTCTTGAATTCCTCCAGGACTCCTAATTGAAAACGCAATCTTTGAGCCTCTCGACCGAGAGCCGAGTGGAGTCAAACGCAACTCGCGACTTACGACATGTCGAGGAGATGGATACGGAATAAAGTATAATAATACCGCTCGCCTAATTTGCTCATAAAAAAGACTCGATCGGCGGAAGGATTACTACCTCGCGATATTTTGACGCGTTGCAGGGCTTCGTCGACGTCGCTTTGGAATATCGACGTCGGATCGAGAAACCGGCGCGCCTCCTGTATCAACAAATTGCAGATCTGCCGAAGCATGATGATGAGTTTGCCAGAACTCTGGTAACTCTTACACTTTGCCCACGCTAGCCCGAGCGAATGTATCAGGGTTGCCATCAGCGGTTTAGCCTCGGCAAAGTCGATCTCCTCCACGGACTTGAAGCACTTTGCCAAGGGTGTCAGGTACAACGCTATCTCCTTCGCCTCGGCCAACGACGACACGACGTTATCGAACAGTGTACGGAAGCAAGGGAAATACGCGCTGTTGGTCTTCTCGAGAATTGTCGCCATTTTCTTCACGCGATCCTCTTGCAATTGATCGTAAATATATCTGCGGAAAGATCAGGCAGGGTCGACGCTTTTGCTTGGTCGCGCTTGTGCTTGCAAAAAGGAGAACTTGTCAGTTCTCCAGTTCTCGTTTCATAATTCTCAGGCTAATTTCACCAAACGTGCTACGATCTATTCGTTATACCTCAAGTTCGCCAATCTAGTGGACCAGTACTCCAACTCGACGTTTGGCGTCGGATTTTGCCCGTTCTCGAACGCGACGCTGGACTCGTGAGTAACGACGTCGTTCACTAAGTAAGCCCACTTTATCACCACACCCTCTATAGCACTTTTCAGATACAGATCGACTGCCTGCGGTCCCTCCGCGCAGACCAGTCTCTCCACTTCCGTCACCTTCTCGAGACCGGCCGGCATCGGTAACACCGTTCTCCCGTTCACCTGACCTTTCACCTAACCGTAACCGAGCGTAATCGATATAACCACACGAGTACGTTGCGATGGATATAATTGTTGGTATTTTTCTTTCTATTACCTGATACAACGTGCCGCGGAGAGAATGCACATGCCTGCATATGTCTTGAATGGCTACCTCCGGCAGGTCCTTATGATTTTCCGGCTTGGTCAGCAGAGGGGCAAAAATATTGTCCACCAACGTGGCCAGCTGATCGACGACTCGGTGAGAAAGATCTCCCATGATTATCATGGCCGAGCATCCTTCCTTGTCCTTTGGCAAGGGCGCTTGCTTCACCTTCACCGCATAGACACCTGCGCAAGAACTACTTTCTTGTCGCATTCTCGATGTACTCGCCGCGAAGGACTCATCACCATGCAACGATTCACCCACCAGTTACCTTTGGCTCGCTGGCATGGTATAGGGAAGCTGGACGAAGCCACCAATTGTGCGTTCGGTGTGAGAACGACGAAAAGGGCGACCGGCGACGGTTTGTCTAGAAAATCCAACACCATGTTCCGGTAGTCCTCGGTCAGTAGTAACCTCCCCCATTTTTCCGGCTTCAACTTCAGGCTCTTTTGCACGAAAGCACCGATGTATTCGAGTCGGAAATCGGGCGGCGCTTCCGGAGTAGTCATCTCTGTGCGTAATATCCAAAATCAATCAAACAAATATATATCTTCCTCTTTACGCTCGCGGCTCTACTTTAGACTGTTCGAACCGAACAGTCGAATTTTGAACAAGTAACAATCATCCTCGATCAAGTTGCACGTATAAGAAATTTATCCCTTGTCCTCCCAATCATTTTCGCGCGCGTATCCGACTACTCTGCCAATCACAGCCAAGCGCCAGGTCGGCCAGACGAGTGATGATGACGAGAATGAGATGTCCACGCGACGAATCGATCATCACCTCTCTGCAAGTCCGAGGGACGAGAGACGGCCAAAGTGCGGCAAGTCCGGGGGACTTGAAAAGCGCCGGCGTGAATTCGCGCCGGGCGGCGAAAGGACGATCACATAAACGCGAAATTCCGCGCGTCAGCGCGGAGTATTATGTCGGTTGAATGGCTGTCGTGTAAGCAGGTCAGGAAACCAGGTACTGACTGAACCAACGTAAAGCAGTCTGGCATTGGACGATCGTGTCTCCCGGTTAAAGCCTGCTCGCTCGTTGGCCGCCTATTGTCACGGGACGCACGGAATATGCTGGAAACAACTGACATTGCACGCGATGTCCGCCTCCCGGCACAGCTCAGCGGCAGGTACGATCTCATTCTTTCCAAGTTTCTTCAGGCCGGAGCCATCCGATCAGCCCGGCACGACATTCCGTATCTGCCTTCCGCGACCTCGACGGCGAGAGATCTCCAACCGTCTCCAGCCGCCACTCGTACGTAAGTTTCGTAATTCGCGGAAAATAACACCTTGCGAAAAACCACCACGCTTGCTCGCTCGCTCGCTCGAGAACTTGACTTTAGCTTCTGATCGCGCGCTCGCTGACGAAATCATCCGCGCGTGGACGATAATCTTATCAGCTGGCGTGATTGTCGTTTATCGCGGGATTTGCGCTCGTACGAAGGCCCAACGTTCTTGCCCAACGCTCGCAAAAGGTATCTCTGCGGAAAAGTTGAGTTGCTTCGATCGCGACGATGTTGCGATTCGCAAAGTGCGCGAAGGGACAAATTACTCGACGACTCCGATGTGTCTCGCGCGAAGAAGATTCCGCTCTAACCTTATCGCAATTACGAAGACAGTGGGAATTGTTGCGGAAGTGATGAACCACCACGCATTTTCCATCACGCTCACGACGACTGTATTCACTGCCGACGCGGCCGACGGTGAATTTTCTTCCAATCGCTGCACGTTGCAACGCGTGTCACGTAGAGAAAGAGAGAGAGAGAGAGAGAGAGAGAGAGAGAGAGAGAGAGAGAGAGTTCTCTTTAATGCAAAATACGATCGTTTGAAATGTCACTCTGTACCGTGCACGATTTCCGTGTAGCGAGGGAGGAGTAACCCTCCCCCCCCCCAGGCTACCCCGATCGATTCGTTTTAAACGTACAAAAATCACGAAGAAAGAACCGAGTCTCTCCCTCTCCCTCGAGCGTCTCCGCAGTGTGTTTCGCCGCGCGTACTCGCGAGCGCGATGTCTCGCAATCGATCTCTCGCGGACACCGGTGATATCTTCGGCTCGCGAGCGAACGCGAGCTAATCATCGGCCGCGCAATATTCCTATTTTACACGAACGTGCAACGTGCGATCAGATGAACGTATTAAAAACCTGGCGGAATATCCGCCGCCCGATCGAGCACACGCTGCCCCGCCATGGGGGTGAAGAGTTTCTCTTTCATCGCTTTAATCCCCGCACACGCACGTGCACACGCACAGCCGCGCGGCTCCGTGCGGGGCGCGCGTACGCGTATCTACAAAGGGCCCGGTGCTTTTCATTCCGCGGATACTCGCCCTTCTTCAAATTAGGAAAAAGAGAGAGAGAGAGAGAGAGAGAGAGAGAGAGAGAGAGAGAGAGAGGACGAGTGCCCTCGTACTCTAGCCCACCGTATCAAATTACTCCGCCCCCTTCCCGCCTTTTTATCCACCGCGTCCTCGTACCCTCCGCTGCCGGTGCGCCGCGCTGGCGGGGTGTGCGAGAAAAATTCGTCCTCGCTGGGTGGTCGCGGAAATTGGAGCGGCACGGCCCGGCATCCGGAACGAGGACGGTAAATGCGTTGTAACACCGAGAGCTTTCTCGTATGTATTCTTTGTAGCCGCGCCGCGGAGCTCGCCATTTACACAATCGAGAGGTCTAGACACAAAGGGACGCAAGTGACAAATTCGGAAAAAAAAAAGCGACGCAGCCGGGAATTTCACCTTAATCGATGCCCGCCTGTAACGCGCGGCTGCCGTTGCGCCGCGTTCGCGGAGGGTTCTTCCGTTTCTCCGAAAGCTTTCTGCGAAAGTATCGCGAGTCGCGTTCAAGCACGTACTTTGGCTCGATCGCGTTTCTCCAGGATTTGCCTAGAATTTGCTCCTCGACCGCGCGTCTCTCCTTTCGTCCTCCTCTCGTCTTCGTCTTTGACTCTTTTCGCTCGCAAAGATAGGGATAATCTTCAGAAATCGCCTCTCGGGCTAAAACAATTTGCACACGGCAAAAAATGGCTCTTGACGTTATCTACCCTTGGAGAAAATTTGTCTTGCCGTCTATTCGTCATCTCCCCCCTCCTCCCCTCCCCCGCCCCGCGATTTCCGTCGGTTCTAACAAACCGACCGTGCGGATTATCGTGCGCTCTCGCGAAACAGATCATCCCCGAGGAGAGCGCCTCCGCGCGCTCTCCTCGACGTCGCGCCACGTTTTTTGTCTGGCACGACGTTGAAATTGATGATCGAGAATCCCGCGGGCCGAGCGCGGCCCGAGTATTTCACTTCGGAGTTTTCGGCCGAGTGAATAATGCGGCCGCGCGCGCCTCCGTGAAGAGTGATTTCTTATTTAGGGAGCTTTTGAACTTGATGTCATTTTTCACACGCGCGCCGCGCCCGCTGCACCGATACCGGGAGCAGCGTGGCTTTTGAAAGTTACTCGCCCTCCCCCGCCGCCGTTGTCGCGGAAGAAAGGAATATTTCTTCCCGGTAGCGAGCGTTTACCAATTTTCTTCGCGCTCGCGCGAAAAATGGGATCCTGATGGTGACGCGCTTGCACGCCGCGCGAGGAGCACGCTCGAGGAGAAATATCGAGTGACACGAGCTTGATATTCCGCTTGAGAAATCGTTTGACTGACTGCTTGGCGTCGACTACAAAATGCCGATGCGAAATCTCGCCGAGCGAAAGTCCGGCTGCGATCGGGCCCATCTGATTCGCTGCCTCCCCGAGCAGAAATCAAATACGGCCATTTTTTACGCCTGATATGGCATGACCAGGCAAGCCATAAGAGGGAGTTTCGAGTGGTCCTTATCCGGTCGGAATGTGACAATTGTCTTGCAATATTCTCCGGATTGTATCCTGACCGTAGCGATGACGTCATTATTTGGACGCCTGATTTGGTGCTGATGGACATTTCATCAGGTTTCTCCTCTTGCAGGCAATTTTATCAGGGCATTATGCAGCAGCGCGTTTCACTCCTTATTACGTATTACCGGATCCGAGGAAAGTTACCCGGGCCCTATTTGAAATTTGGAAGCCGGATGGGGTTTTAATACGGCCGTGGGACGATGTTCTGCTCGGGTCGTTCTTGCACCCAGCCACGTCCGTATTTCTACCGATTTCCGACAGATTACAGAAAAAAATACTTTATGAAAGTTGCTAGTCTGTCCATTTAAATATTTCACTTTTGCTCAGCGCCCATCGAAAATACAGCTTTTGGCATCGTTACATGAATCTCCGCGTAATTTCCGTGAGAAACGAGCCGCTTGTGGCGGTATTAGCGTTAATCTTGGTAGTTTTAGCATCAAACTCGGTTTGGGACACACAAGAGAGCCTGCGTTCCCCCCTGCCCCTCCTGCCGTGCAGGGGCATATAATAACCGCGTTAATTTATCGTGTGGAGCAAACTCCGCGCGGTAACTCCGTATAAATCCAAAGCGAATGAAAGTTTGAGCCGGTCTATGAACTCGACTCTAATCGAATACCGAGCACGGCCTAAGGGGGTGAGAGGGTGACGTGACGATCACAGCGAGAAGGTGCAACGTAACCGGGACATCTGGCGAATCCGTCGCTTGAAACTTTTCAGGGGAGCTTAAGGACGTGCGGAGGGAGGAAGGGATGCCGAGGAAGCGCGCGCAAACTTGACAGCCGGCATTATGATAATCCGAAATCGCATATTGCGCGCTCTACGTGCCAATTCTCTCTCAGACGAGAGAGCCGGGAAACGCGTGAAAGCCTCCGAAGAGACATTTATTCTCGAACGAGGCTGTATCGAGATTCGATTCGATTCGATGGGAGAGAGAGTACTACAACACGTAGGGGATGCACAAAGAACCCGAGAGAAGTCTCGCCGTGTTATTCGCCCCGCGCAATATGACGTCGCGCGAGGTGTTTTTTTTACCCCCTCCGGCTCTCGTCTTACTGTACTCTCTCTCTCTCTCTCTCTCTCTCTCTCTCTCTCTCTTTGAATCGTAATAAATGCGCGGAGGCGTGAGATTTTCCTGTCGCGGCATACAATCGTGGAAAAAAGGTGCCTTTCTGCGATAAACAGCAATAATAAAGCAACGCTGAAGCCGTGAATTGACGTAATAAATTAGTGAAATAACTTTCGACACGACTTTTCAAATCTGCGGACACAGAAGGGGTTTTGATCAATCAGATTTCTCTCTTCATTTTGGTTTTCATTTTTAATTAATCAGATTTCTCTTCATCTATTCAGTATTTTCTTATATTTATTTAGTATTTAGTATTTCTCGCGTAGTGTGCGTTCGATCATATGCTTCACCGGCGGTGAAACTGAATAAATGAACAAC